GCAATACAAATCCAAAAAAATCCTATATTCAACAATGGCGCTTTTACGGGTTTCTAGAAATAAGTCATACGACCCATATGCGGGTTTTCAACGCTCTTATTGCCATTATTTTTTTAAAGAACATTTTTTGTGGCCAAAATTTGCAACAGTTAAGACATTATTCAACCTGGTACAGACTTTTTACATAATTCTCATACGACCCGTATCCTGTACCCTTTTTTCATTGTTCTTTTTTAAATAGGTTGCAACAGTTCCTAAGAAAAAGGACCAGTATTCAACAATGATGGCAATTAATTGCTCCTTATTCCTTTTTAAAGTGCTTTGTTTGACGCAAAAATATGCAAAAGTAAAGGCAGTAAAGATCAAAAAAACAATAGGGCTTGTCTGCTCTATAGATTTTCTAAATATTACTCATACGATCCTTATGCTTTTCATAAACACTCTTATTTTTTAAGGAGTTTTATTTATGCCAACAATTTGCAATAGTTAATTCAGATATATAAAAACTATACAGGCAGTACTTTAATTTGAATTTTTTTTCTTTTTAACTTCTCAAAAAAACGGGTTTTTAAATTTCAAATTTCTTGACACAACTCACCTGCTGCGTTCGTTTTAGAAAAGTTTATACAGCTTTTGTTGGCTGCAGTAAGTTTTTAATTTAAATTTTGCCAACGCACGTTTACCGTTTTGGTTTGCTTTTTCTTTAGTTTATCGCACAAGTTTGTTTCACAGAAATTCCAAAGTGGCAATTCCTATTTTTTCGCACAATATTTTGTTGTTAACAATTTCAGTGCTTGCACAAAAGTTTCAATTGGTGGAGAGAGAGACAGAGAAATAGATATGCTAAACTTTTTCCTAACAACAATTGGCTTCAACTAATTGACAAGCGATGCCAACAAGCGATCACACAAGTTTCAAATAATTTACAATTCCGTTGAAGCTGGCGGTAAGCTTTTGTCTGTTGTTAGTTTGCCGTTTTTGTAGGGCACACGGTTTGTCTGCGAAGCGCGAAAGCGAATGTGGCACCCAAACGACCGACAAGTTGTTTTATAGTCCAGCAAGCGCCTGCCGAACAGCCGCCGGAGTGGCCGACGAGACACGAACGCCAACAAAAACAGAAAAAAGACGATTCGAATGCTAGAAGGGTGCGCGCCCGACTCTTAAATACCCTAATCGGGTGGATTTAAAAAGTAAAATTTATAATAACAATTTAATACAAAAGTGCTCTTAAATATCTTATATCTGGAACAACAGTAAATTGTTTATATATTGGAAAATATTTTTACTATTATTCGTATCTACAAAGAAGTAAATTTGAACTCAAATAATAATACAATGCCATTTCAAATTTTATAAAAAAAAAAAACGTATACATATTGCACAGTTATGCGCGATTAAACTATAAAATCATGTCACTGAAAAACTTGAAATTAAAAAAATTTCGGAGAACATAACTAACTCTAGCTCTTATAACTTGCGTTCATACAGACGGACGGACAATTTAAAACAGAGATAGAGAATTCCCTTAAAGTTACACTCGCGAATTTGCAAATAACGATGAAATGTGTGCCTTTACATTTGTTTCGATGTTGGCAGACCTGACGAATTCAGAAATGAAAACAGACCCGATATACTTTTTTTGTTCTGAGATACATACTTCCCTCTGCTCATTACATACACGTACATATAGGTTACGCAAGCCCAGTATACCCTTTTCAGCCTTAGGTGGCAGAGTATACAGAATAACAACAACAAAAATAGCGAAGCCCGAGCAGCAACCAATACCAAAGCAACTTCCAACTACCATGAAATTTCAATCCTGTTGCTTCGTCCGCAGCGTGCAAAAGCTCCTGGCTAGCCGGCTTAATGGCGTGTGGGTTTGTGTCTCGACTATGCTGCGTGTGTGTGGGCTGCGCACTTGTGACGTCAGCGGCAACAAGGCTGTGCGGGCGTTGATTTAAAGCTGCATGTATTGCCTGCTATTCGCCCATTTGATTCTGCCGACCCCTGTTGTTGTTGCAACGTTTGTTGTTATTGTTGTTTTCGGCACCTACGCATATATTTCGGTAGGCGGCGCTTCCATTTGCACCTCACATAACACCAACACCATTGTCCCGCGTCCGTTTTAGTATATGGGGTTGAATGTTAATGAAATCGCCCATGCAGAGATTTTGCATTTCTTTATGTTTATATTTCTTTCTTGACACTTTTAATCATCAGCTGACATGTGTGAGAATATGTGGCTATTAAATAAGTAGACATGGGTGCATTAACTATGAGCGAAATATGTGTTCAAAGCGAGCTTGGTTCCATATTGTTAATCAGTTTTAATCCCAACTGCTTAAATCGCTTTGAGAGAAAGAAAACGCGAAGTCTAGAAGAGACAACTGAAGACGATACAGCTACAGCTAGTTTCTTTCTAAAAGTATTATAGGAGGAGCGTTTCCTTGGAAATCAGTAAAATATTAAATCAAATCAGATAACTGCTGCAAATAAAATATATACAAGTATAAATTAGGGAGAATAAACTGATTGTAGATGACTTCCCGTCACCACAAATGCAAACAGCAGCCACAACAACAGACCCAACAACAGCCCCGGTAATAAAAAGGAAACAAGCTGCATAAAATTCTGTTTTAATCATTAATTAATTTCCCAATGGTATCAACTTTATCATTCGAACTCAGTCTTTCAAATTTTAATTAAAATATGAAAAGTCAATATCGAATTTACTTCCTCTCTCAGTTTTCGAAAAATCCGCAATTCGTTTGTCCCTTTGCTTGGGTGGAATCAAAATGTATTTTCGTATTAAATACATATTGTGAAAACTCATAAGCTATTATTATAAACAAAAGTTTTGGCACCAGCGATTCAATTAAAACCCAACGGTTCGGACTCAACTTTTTGTCCTAACACGTCAGAAGACACCTTGGCATTTTAAATGAGTTTTCTTTTTTATTTAACGAAACATTAATTATTATACTCTGTAAACGAAGGGTAAAAAGGGTATATTGGTTTGTGGAAAGTATGTAACAGGCAGAAGGAAGCATCTCCGATCCCATAAAGTATACGAGTATACGCGTATACAAGTTTTCTGTATTTAATCATGACAAAGGAAATCGATCTAGACATGTCCGAATGAACACCTGGATTAGCCTTATCCTTATCTTTTTTTTATACCACCCCGAATAAAGACATTTTATAGTTATAAATATAAATCCGTCTGAAAAAACAGAACACGGTCAAAAGGAACCAAATTTTACAGGCATACATATAGAGTGCATTTGTTTTGTTCCTTTTTGTGCTTAACTCTGCTCCGCTCTCTTGCTGTCTCATAACTTTGTTTGGAAATGAATGACATTCGATCTGATGAGCGCACAAATCAAATAAAAAATACATTCATGCAATACCAAACGAATTAACAGCAGCCCATTATTTAGGGCGCAACATGGCGTATACGCAATAGTTCTAATGAGGACTCAAACCCATAATATTGTGTTTCATTTTAAATGATTTTTGTGCAAACACAGCTGCAATGAAACGCGAGTACGCATTTCGATGTTCGCCTGTCTACGGCCGTAGAAATTGACATTTACAAATGAGTTTTGTGAATAATGCTGACAAAAGTGCGCAAAACATTTGAAAGAAAAACACAAAATATGGTTATAATTTGATAATTTGCTAATATTTAGAAGTAAAACATACATCTACATATATTTGAAAGAAGTCCCTTTTCTGTATTTATGCTGTGTTTATAATAAAAGGTTTATAGGGTACACCTAGTAAAAAGTCGAAATGCCAAGGAGGCGTGGTAGACTTTACGGCAAAGTTAGGGTATATACATATGTTAAGCATGACAAAGGGTCACCTTTATAGGAGCCAACAAATAAAAAAACAAAATATGGACTGCTTTTACTTTAAATTGGCACCACTCTGATAGGCTTTGTTAAAGATATTTATCATTCTTCACACATACCCGTACATTATCCATTGCATTGAATTTAAAATTAAGGTAGTTAGTCCATATTATTGTCAATAGAAACTATAAAGCTGCAGTTTGGTTTTGCCACCACTGTATCAGCTCACTGAAGTCATGTGTTCGTGCTACGTGAATGTCATGTGTCAGTGCCTTCGCTAAATACATTCGAGGGCCACTAAAACGTTCTTACCCAAAAATAATTGAAATTCAATGTTTTTTTGAAAAACCAAACATTGTTTCGTCTCTGGGCCAGATATCTTGTCGAGAGACACTGTTGTAAGGATTGGAATACGTTTTTATATCCGTATTATTATTTTTTTAACCTTCCAAACATACTCACCAGGTATCCAATGACGTTTAGGCTCATGATAACCATAATATCGATAAAATATCGATAAGACATAATAAATAATCTATAATGCCGATAACAAATTTGACAGCGGTGGTATCGAAAGTTGAAGAAAAATGAAATAGGCAATAGTATCGATAGTGTCACCTTACTAGACAGACAATAAGCTGAGAGATCACAATTGTGACACTATATTTTATTTCTAATAGAAAGAAAAACACAATACCCGATACTAGCGGTACTGTCATCAAGCTATTGACAGATGTAGGCCGCATTCAACCTTCAAAAGGTTGAAAGTAGATGTACTGTTTCATAGTCCGTTTTGGGACCAATTATTTTTCATACAGAAAGAAACACAAAATAATCGGGTGTCATCGATCCGATGATAATGTTCATAGTAAAGTATGTAGGATTATTAACAAATACAGATAATCTATAGTGTCATCTATAAATTGACAGTTCTATTTTTAGGAGTGAATTGAAATAACGTAGTTTTGTCACTACGTTTTGTTTCAAAATTAAAAATTCTCTATGTTTTCTGCAGCTATACTAAATTCCGGTAACAAATATAAAACACTGATTTCTCGTTTGTATTTTACGTACGTATTTTATTTTTATGCTTCCTTCAGTAAGTTAGCTTTAATTTAGTTTATGCAAATATTGCCAGGCTTGTTTGTTTGTTTTACTTTATTTAATTTAATTAAATTTAGCCATTATTAAGTTTCAGTTTCACGACCCTGCTTTGCTGGTTTGCTTTCGACGCGGATTCAGCTTAAGTATAACAATGAGACGAAAACATATAATTATAGTACAATGGTTTAAAATTACAACTAAATAACCATAATTCATAATGGGAATATCATTCCCGTTTATCAGATTTTTCATTTGAATTGCTTTTAAAATAATTAGGGCTACGGCCATATCTAAAACCTTAATGCTTAGGAGAGGAGAATCTGGGTTTTGGGTCGTTGTATTTTGCAGATTTCATTTGTTTTTATTGCACAATAGCTACCAAATGTTATTTGTTGTTATTTCTTGTATACAATTGCTTTTTTTTAATTCATGCATTTATCTAAATATGTATTTAAATTACGGCTGATACGTTTTGTTTGTTTTACTAAATAATTAATCACTGGGTTTTCTATGCGTTCTGGAGAGTTGCATTCGATTTTCTAAGATTGTTAATTTGTAGCAAAAAGTTTGCAAAAATTACAAAACTCGCCCGTACTTAGCAGCTTAGTCTAAATGTTTCACTGTATGTATGTTTGTGTGTGTAATGTGTGTCTGTGTTTCTTTCTTCTATACTTTTAGCTTAAAAATGTACAATATATTCTGATTCTTTGTTTCTTTTGAAATTTGCTTTCGTTGCGCGACAAACTGAAGAACCGAAACGTAACAATAATTAGGATTGAGATAATAGAGCTTAGATGCTAGGTGGCCTAAATACAAATATGATATTCGATATTTGATTTTAATGCTACACAAAATTCGCCAATCACTAAAATTATACAATTATCGCATATAGTTTGTATGCATAATATCATTATATAGCATATAACTATTGCTCAGTGAAGTGTGTTTCTGTGTGTGTGTGTGTCGCTAAATTTCTAAAAACAACATTTTCGTAATGCGCTTTAGTTCTCTAAATCTGTTTTTTCGCATTTCCCGACGATATCACAACAAAATGTACCAAGTAGAAGAATTAGTTATGTTGAAAGACTGCGCAGAGATTCAGATGCGGGCCTTACGTAAACGGCGGCGGCAGCACTATGGGGTCGAAATTTTGTTGCGTGCTGGCAAAGATGCTGAAGTTGGCGATGCGGCGATAGCCCCACAAATCCATGGCTTCACCGCACACATCCTGTATCTGCATGATCTGCAATAATTGGGATTTCGACTTTGATTGAGGGAAGAAATATCGAATAGTAGAATAGATTAGACTTACCTCATCCACTTTGAGATCCTGCTTCCAGTGGAAGGGTGCCATGCGAGAGTCGCGATATGTTGAGCTAACACCGCCTATATTCACTTTGGTGTGTGTGTCCAGAAACTCCTCGACAGCTGGATCGAAGGGTAAGCCGTAAAACTGTAAAACCTCTTGCGTGACATCGTAGGGATTCAGGGATAGGTCCTCATAGCGTAGCGTTCTGTCGAGTGCAGAATTATTAGTTTTAGAAGCCCAGATCAGCTCGAAACACTCACCGGAAACGCGAAGGATAGCTCTTGAGCAACTTCTCTGCTGTCCTGTAGTCATCAACCAGATCCTTGCAGACCAATTTCGGATTTTCGCAGTCCTCGTTACCCGCACACCACACCCGATGGCGGCGCGACTGCATTGTCCCTCTAGGATCACGCACCAGGAGCACAATTCGCACATTAAGGCTGTGGAAAGAAGAAGTAACGAGGGGTGATCCAACATTATTAAAATTGCATTCACCGGCCGTATTGGGCATCAACCGACTTTACAGCACAATTATTATTCGATCGTAGGTTCGTTCGTTCGTTCGTTCGCGTAATAGTTGTGCACGAAGCGTGAAGTTTGTTTTTGCCATAACAATTGCTGAGCTAAAATTTAAACAGCATTTAATTAATAAATTGAACGTTACTTTTACGCTGTGTTCGCTAATAATAAGCGCAAATTATCGTATTCAGAGGTAATTTTTTGAACCTTCCTCCATTATTTGATAGCCGTTTGTTAGTTACCAAGTACTTATTTAAGTACATAACTCTGTTGCCACTCGCTCTGAAGTTCTGCTTACACTGATAAAAACAACAGCAGGCAACTTAACTGTTATAGCTTCATAGTGGGTACAAATATGATACGGAAATATGGCCCTGGAATCGAGTGGGTGAGGGATGGGAAATGCCTTTTTCAAGTTGGCAGCACTGTCACTGTCAGCTGTTTCCAATTTCCTTTCTATTTTCTTCATTGTTTACATATTTCGTGAACATCAAAAAGAGATTTTTACACCCTGTATCCATTAATACTACGTAGTTCGTGCGAATGTGTGTGACACACAGAAAGAGGCGTGGCAGATTCCTCAAAGTTTGTATTATTCATGATCCGTGTTTCAAGCCAAGTCGATACAGCTATATACATATGTATGTCTGTATGAGGCCAAGGATGTGTCTATGCACCTTTTCTTTTTTTGCAATATAATTAAATTATTTTGTTTTAAAAATGTATTGTTTTTTGAATTGCACACCTAATTATGTTTTTACCCATTCCATTTTTACACGGTTTTGATTTAACACGGTTTGAAAATTAATGAATTTATACATACATATATTTAGCACGATTTAAAATAACATACGATCAATGTCTTTTTTACACGGTCAAGAACCCAAGTTTATTATTGGTATAAAATGTTCAAAGAGGGTATCTCGCCAAAATCAAGATGAAGATCGATTGACAGCTATTTAATAAATTGAAAAGGCCACTCTGGGGACAGTGTTTTGACACGAATGAGGAGATTTTAGCCGAATTTAAGAAGGTACGGGTCATTCAAGAATAGGATGTCTGTAGTATTTCTGCCAGTAGAGGTTCTTTTGTATCTACTTTTTTATTAAGATGGATGGTTTTATGGTTTCTAGTCATAGTATTGCATTCTATCAGGTTAAAAACCTCAATGCGACTAAGACCACCAATGTGTCATATAATGATTTATCAGGCATCATAAAATCGAGTTAATTATTTGAAATACCTTTTTAAAGTGACTAGAATTTGTTTATGGCTCGGTTGTCAACAAAAGTTGTTTACGAAATTTAGAACTGTCATAAAGCTTTTCATTGTGCTGCGCCTGCCTATCCACTAGCGACTTTACTGATAAGTTTAAACGGAAGCAGTACTTTTTTTTTATTACCCTGAGCTGTTCCTGCCCTCAACTGCCCGCTGAGTTATCGATGGGTTGGTGCGAGTGGCAGAAAAATTCAAAGCTGATAACAATTTGTGTGCGAATAATAGTCTTGAGTAGGCAATCAAGTTTTATGATAGCATTAGCAAATATTTTTTAAAGACCACAAAAGCTGGCAATTATAAAAAATTGTTTTAAATCAATTTCGCTAATCGGCAAACCTATTGTGTATTGATTTGTTATTTAAAGGTATCAAGAGGTATTTAGAGACTTTTAGTTTTTGAATTGAAGCATTTCAGAAGGAGCTGACTGAATTCAGTAACTATTTGTCTGCTCTATTCTATTCTAATATTCCATGTAAGAATCACAATTAATATCGATAGCACATAAAACTAAAGCTGTTTATTTAAATTGTAGACGCTTCTTCGGCAAAAACAAATATCCGACGGAAATTGTTTTGTTAAAGTAATAATATTTTTAACTAAATCTGGCAGCAAATAAGCAATTATTTAATATTTTGTTGAGTTAGGCAAACGCAGGAAAGTTGTCCAAATATATTGGCTAAACCAAGTCTAAAGAGAGTTGGAAGTTATTGAGTATATGCGATACTTCTGTATATATTTAATATTCAGGCATGTCAAACATTTTGCTTTGAACAACTTTTCTACATATTGCATTTGGATCGAGTTGGATCAGTTACTTGTGAAGATAAAGCCTTTTAGTTTTCAAAAAGTAAGTCCTATTAATCTACGCTATTCGATCAATATTTTCTGTACAGTCAGTTTTCAACAGTCACAAGATTTTTAGGTATACCAATATATAACTTTAAAATGCAAAACCCATGGGATAGTTTCCATTTTTTTTGTCATCGCTTAGCACTAGTAATATTTGATATAAGAAATCCATTTCTATTTTATAAATATTATACAATTTTAAAACTACGTCGATAACCAATTTGTAACATTTGGCAATTAGTAACGGCTGTCAAACATATAGAATTCCGCTTGCTCGTTTATATAATTTGTACAGAACCAGTGCACATTAGTTAACTGAAATGCATTTCAAAACTATGAATGTAAATACAAATTTCAAACAAATGGCGACGTCAGCTGTAAATTCCAACAAACTCATTCAGCTAGCCACATCATTAGTGAGAACAACAAAAACAACAGCTCTAGCTTTACGAGAGCAACCTCATTAGCCTGTGGTTAGCTTCATTCTGTAAATAGAGCCAACTATGCACATATGTACACTCAGAGAAAATGCAACTAATTGGAAACAAATGCATTGGGTGTGATTTTCTTAATTTTCTTTTATAAAATACGTATTGCGCACAAAAATTTCTACACTAAATATAAATGTCAGACATATAAATTTAACAAAAATGAGCATTAACTTCAAGTCAGTAGCTTAAATTTGTTTTTCTGAGTGTTTTTTTGTTCCAGTATCAGTGTTGACTGAGATAACTAATTGGAAGCATCCAAAATGTACACAACAGAAAAGACAAAAATCAAACAGTATATAACAAAAAGCAACTATAAATGGAAATATCTTTAATATATTGTAGGAAAGCCTTTCTGTTTTAAAAACAGAGCTTTATCGACCATTTATTGACTCTATAAGCTGCTGGCCGCCTGTCGACCATGCTTTATTGATTTCTTTGAATAACGTATCTAAATTCCTTTTGTCCTGTTGAGCAATATTTATGTTTTGGGCCATTATCTTTCTTATTGGCCCAAACAATCGTAATTTTTTTATGAACCTATGCTACCAAATATATCCATTTACTTCTCCCTTGTCAGAATTATCTCGATGCGTAATATGAAACCAACTCCATTCCATGAGAAACACTCTCAAATATTACTTAAGTTTTTAAAAAATACTGCAAAAAATCTAAAACTACACCGAAGATCTAAATTGTTTCCAATTAGGCTGCACGAAAAGTTCGTAGAACTCGGCTAAAAATTAATTTTATTAAGTGCACGTGGTTAAGAAATGTGAAATTAAAAGCTAACTATCACATGGGATAAACGACGAATATAAAACATGTGGTAATGTAGCGTTAAGTCAGCCATAGCTTTGGTAAATGTCACAAATGCAAGAGTTAATTATTTGTTTCCAATTAGTTGTCAACAACTTTAAAAGTACGATAAAGAATAAACCTTACGTATAATATTTAAAAAACCCAATGTCATTAACAGTTTTGAAAATAATGGGTGGAAATTTAGGCTTGTTTGGAAATTTGGGCCGCATGATTCAGTATCACAGGGCCTTAATTATACGTTCGCTTTGCCATTGAAGTTTACTTCATCATTGGCATTGCGTAGCGCCTTTATCTATTTCTAATAACGAGCCAAATCAACGCTATGTCACATCACATTGGCGCATATCATTCAACATTCGCTTAGCCAACCCATATTTCTATAAATCACAACGCTTATCAGAGCTTAAAGAGCATATTTCTCGGCAGTTACTCTGCTCGTTTGCATAAGATTCGCGCTGGCGACTAGTATATAATATAACAAGATAAAAGGCTACACAGTCGCGCAAGCCCGACAATTAAATACCCTGTACCCAGAAAAACTTCCGGCACTAAGTTATATGCCATAGCAGAAGCAAAAAATAAATAAATAAATAAACAAAAAAAATAAATAAAAAAATAAATAAATTAAAATAAATTTTAAAAAAGAATACTGCAGTTTGTGGGCGCAGTACTTGTTTCTCTAATACCTTTTCTTTAAAATTTAAAGAAATTGTGAAATTTAATAGAAAAGTAGATACAGTTTGGTTTATGTAGCTTTTGAAATGTGAACATATTGAGCGGGGAAGAGGTGCGGGAAAAAATATAATAAAATAAATAAACTCGTGTCGAGCGTCCACATACCAAGTTTGGTTAATGTGCGCTCAGCTGTTTCCGAAATACAGGCGTTCATCCAGACGGACGGACATGTCTAGATTGGTTCCGCTTGTCAGGCTAAATAGGAATATATATACTTTATTGAGTCGGAGATGCCATCTTCTGCATGTTCCATACTTTCCACAAACCCTTGATACAATCTAACTGTTTCAGTGAATTGCTTTTCACATAAAGGCATAAGTTAGAGATTGCCTTCTAACTAGCTTTTTTCACCGAGTGCATCTAAATGTTCAAAACTGAGAGTACATACTCATACATTATTGAGCTATTTGACAATTCATAATGTCCAATATATTAGCGACCAAGTTGTAAGCCCGCTAAGGTATTGAATAAATAGAGCAGAGCTCGATTGGTCAATCTGAATGGCGAGTCCCACATTCGTACTTGAGCGCTTTATCAGGCCCAAGCAGATGCTCTTGGGAGTAAAAATGAACTTTCAGCAGTTTGGCCGATAAATTCACAGGCAATCAAGTTTTATGATAGCATTAGCAAATATTTTTTAAAGACCACAAAAGCTGGCAATTATAAAAAATTGTTTTAAATCAATTTCGCTAATCGGCAAACCTATTGTGTATTGATTTGTTATTTAAAGGTATCAAGAGGTATTTAGA